CCACCATGCGCCCTCCCCATTGGCCACAGCTGGCCCACGTGACCTCTATCGCCTAACCTGCTCGTCCGCGCGCGCTTTTTCCTCCACAGAAAGCCTAGGGCGGGAGCGGGCGTCTCACGGGTGCGCGAGGTCGTTCGGAGGACCTGGGGGGCGCTCTCTGGCGGGGAGCCTGAGACAATGCCTAAGTACTGTCCAGAGGAAAACTCTTACTGAGGAAGCAGAAGATTGAGGAGGTCCACCTCTCCCCTCAGTGGTTTCTGTCCCGGGCTGTGACACAGACTGACTGAAAATGGAAATCACAAGCCTTTCATTGGCAGGAATGTGACTCGCTGAAGCCAAGATTTATCTCTTTGGGGGCGCTCTACACATACAAACCTAACTCTTCGGGGGAAAATACATAATTTTTGTATGGGGAATTCAAAGCCACTTTTTCTTAGAAGAGTTGAGGGTCGTGGGAAATCCGGAGCAACCATCCTGATACACATCATTTAAGGGAAATTAGAAACTCCTGGGGAAACAAAGATGAGTAAAAGCAGAAGGAGGCCCTGCACACCATTGCTGTGCGGGAATGGAATGATTTGACAAGGGCCAGTAGTGTAATAATTACAGATAGGAAAGGGCTAAATAAATGTGTGTGCATGTGTGTGTAAGTAGTATAAATGGGAAATATAATTGTAGAATTCAGTAGAGTTCAATTTAACTTATTTTTCTCTTTAAGAGTGCTTTGCTTACTTCTGCTTTTTTTAATTTTTTGCTTCGAAGGCTTACCAACCCTTCCTCCTCTAGATAAACATTTTCTTTTTTAATTCGTTCATTCCAGAAATACTAGGACCTACTATATTCCAGGCACTGTGCTAGGTACTGAGATGACAATGATAAATAAAAACAGTACCAGTTCCTTCAATCATGGAGCTTATGGTCTGGTAAAGGAAGCAGACAGTAGTTAATTGCACATATCAATGTTAAATATAATGTGATAAGTGCTAAGGAGAGGTCTAGATGCCATAATGGGGGATTTGACCTAGCAGGGAGATCAAAGAAGGCTTGCCTCAAGATGCAACCCCTGACATGAGACCTGAAGGGGTTAAGGGGGTTGGAGGTTGCAGACAGAGGGAGCAGCTTGTACAAGGGAGCACTGGGAGCCTCTCCCCTTCCAATGACTGCCCACCTCACCCATTTCCACTATACATACATTCATCTTGCCCCTCAGTTCTCAGAAGACATTTGTTCTCTTAATTCCAAGTTCTTAGGGAGTGCCTGGTTGTAACCTACAATGATTGTTAAAGACAGTGTTACCCAATAGGTAAGTATACATATCAAATATAATAGCAATATACATTTAATATACAATATATATTAATATACAGTCTAATATGCATTATCTGTTGTTTTGTATAAGAAAAATATACAATGACTGTAACAAATCGTAGGATATGATATATCCCAATAGAACTAAAAGTGCTGTAGACAAAGTAGTGAGAGACCACATGATTTTGGAAGACTCAAAAAAGGCATCTTAGCGAAAGTAATTTTCAAAAATCATTGAGGTAAGATTTGGTCAGATAAAGATACAATTTAGTTAGAGCATAAGGTTCTAAAAGACGAGTAAGGAGGTTGAACCAATCAGTTGAAATACATTCCAAGGGCCTTGAAAACCAGTCTAAAGAGTTTGTAGAAACCAAGCTAGTGCAGTGGCTTGCCTCTGAAATCCTAGCTACTCCAGAGGCTGAGATGGGAGGATTGCTTAAGCCCAGGAGTCTGAGATCAGCCTGGGCAATGTAGCGAAACACACTGTCTAAAATATTTTTAAAAGTCTGTAGAAACTAAAAAGTTCTATTTAAGTTTTAAGAACTTTCCTGAGATACTTTTTCTCCCCTAATATTTGTCTTGGAAAATTTTAAATCTACAGAAAAGTGACAAAATTAACTCTATGGTTATTCATAAACCCTTCCCACAGATTAGTCAGTTTTGCTTTGTTTTGCTTTTTTTGAGACAGGGTCTTTTTGAGACTCAGTCGCTCAGACTGAAGTGCAGTAGTGCGATCATAGCTCATGGCAGCCTTGAACTCCTAGGCTCAAGTGGTCTTCCTGCCTCAGTCTCCCACGTAGCTGGGACCATAGGCATGCGTCACTGGGCCCAGCTAATTTTTTGTTTTTTTGTAGAGATAGCATCTCACTTTGTTGCCCAGGCTTATCTTAACTCCTGGGCTCAAGTGATCCTGCCTTGTCATCCCAAAATGTTGGGATTACAGATGTCAGCCACACCTGGCCTTGGTTTTTTGTTGTTGTTTGATTTTGCCTCATTTGCTTTATTCTAAGAACAAGGATATTTTTCTGCATAACCACAATACGACACTTGCGAGGTACTTTTTTTTGAGACAGAGTCTCTATCTGTTGCCCAAGCTGGAGTGCAGTGGCACAATCTCAGCTCGCTGCAACCTCCGCCTCCTGGGTTCAAGGGAT